TATTTCTATTGAGAAGGCAAATTCTTCGATCAAACCTAACGGCGCTTCTTCTTCAAAATGGGCGGATTATTCCCCAGATGTTGATATGGATGTACAAATCATTGAGGAGTCTGACCTTCAAGTTAGTGAGTCATCCAAGACAACTGTGACCGACATGGCGGAAAACGTATTTGACATTGACCAAGACATGGTTGATCTTACTGATAGCATAGCAGATGATGAGGTGAATGCTATGGATGATTCGGCTACTGTTGATGACGTTGATATGGTTGTTGCCTCGGGTGTTGACTGTGGTGATGGTGCTACTCCTGGTCCTGGTGCTGGTGTCAACCGTGGTGATGGTGTTACTCCTGGTCCTGGTCCTGGTGATAATCGTGGTGCTGGAGTTCGCCGTAAGGGGATTGCCGGTCTTGGTACGGCCCTCCTGGTGTTGGAGTTGGAAGTAAAGTGAATGGTAATAAGCATGCTATAAGTAAAAAGGACAAAACTGTTACTCGACCGGTACCCAAGCTCAAACAATTTGGCGAACCTGAACTTCGGGTTGGTAAAACCCCGGCTATGATGAACTATATTAAGAACCAAACTAAACATAATGCCGATAAGGCGCAATGTTAAGTAAACCTCTTCGCTTGGGCTCACTTAATGCGCGCAGCATTTTCAAGTCGACGAGCCCTCAAATACAAAAAGAATTTATTTCTTTTCTGCGTAATCGTTCTTTGTCTCTGGAGTTTCTTTGTCTTCAAGAAGTTTCCTCTTTTCATCAGGCCCATCTTACTGATGATCAAATTGTTCAATTTTGTACCTTTCTTTTTCCTCGCTGCTCGGTGGTTGTCTCCAAGTATTGTGCAATTGTATGTCTTAACTCTGGTCTCTACCTGGACGACACTGCTATTTCATTGGATGAGCGTTGTGTTGTTGGCTCAGTAATGGATCTTCAACATAATGTCTTGTGTCGTGTTGCCTCTGTATATGTACCGGCACAGTCTTCGGACCGTCCTCTGTTTCTGAGCAATTTTCTATCTCTACCTTTCTTTTCCGACATGTCTACGACTCCTTGGTTGCTGATGGGTGATCTAAACTTGAATCTTCATAATGTCAAGGTTACTAGTCATTCCACTGTTTCGGCATGGTTTGATTGGGTTCGTAGTCATTTCGACAATTGTTTTCCGTCTGGTCTCCCAACGCACACGCAGGGTAACTCTAGAACTACTATTGACTATGTCTTTGGTCACCGATCTTTGGCTACTCGACTAGTGAACGGTATGAATCGAAAAGTCCCTTCGGCGTACTCTGATCATTGTCTACTCTCAATCGATCTTGTTCCTGCCCGTGTTGATATTGGTCCCGGTTGCTGGCGTTTTAACCCAACTTTATTGGATGATGCTGACTTCTTGCCGTTACTCGACAAAACCGTGGCGGTCTTTTATGACTCAGTGTTATGTGTTGATAATCCGGGTGTCAGTCATGACGAAGGACCGGTCCCTGTTCAAGATATCTGGGAATCTCTTAAGTCTTCACTTAAATGTTGTGCTCAAAACTATACTCGTGGTTCTAAACGTCGCTTCAAGAATAAGGTCGCGTCGTTACAACATGAGCGTACTCTTCTGCTAGCCAATGTCACCGGCGATAACGGCTCTTCCAGTAACGTAGATAAGAATATCAAACTTGATGAACTCGACCAGCTTATTGATACTGGGATTCGGAAAGAAACGCGTGAATGCATGCTTCGGTCTGCCACTCGCTGGCACGAGCTAGGTGAACGGAACAACAGATATTTCTACCGGGTGATCAAGGAGCGCCAGTCTAAGCAAACTATACAGTCTTTGAAGTGCTCCGCTACTGGCTCGGTCTTAGTGAAATCAGATGATATTATTCGGGAGGCAAGAGGTTTTTACCAGGCGCTATACACACCCGATTTAATTGATGATGCAGCTGTTGACTCTCTCTTGGCTAGTATCCCTGATGATGTGGTATTATCCCCTGATGACTCTGAATCTTTGGTGGAACCTATTGTTATGGACACTCTACACGATCTGGTCAGTCACACTCCCCTTGGTAAAAGTCCTGGCTTAGATGGTCTTCCGTTTGAGGTGTACAAGTACCTGTTCAAAACTTCGGCTGACTTTCGTACCATGCTATTAGGAATTCTGAATGATGCACTCATAGGTGTGTATCCAATCTCTTGGCAACAGACTCGTATGGTTCTGCTCTATAAGAAAGGTGATCCAATGATGCTGAAAAACTGGCGGCCTTTGTCTCTAATCAACAGCGATGCTAAACTGTTTACGAAACTTCTGGCCAATCGTCTTAATGTGGTTCTGCCTCAACTAATCAATCCATATCAAACTGGTTTTATGCCAAATCGGTTAATCTCTGATAATGGCTGGCTAAACCAAACTTTTATGGCTAATGCTCGTAATGTAGATCCTGATCTTCCACAAGTCTCCGTTTTACTAGATCAAGAAAAAGCTTATGATAGGGTCCATCCGGATTATCTCCGCAAGGTTCTTCTTCGGTTTGGTCTTCCTTTGATATTGGTAGATTGTCTTGGTAGTCTGTTCTTTGGTACTGAGATATCTATTTCCATTAATGGCTGGTTAGGTGTGCCTATTTCCCAGTCACGTGGTCTTCGACAAGGTGACCCTCTTTCGCCGCTCTTGTTTAACTTGGCCTTTGAACCTCTCCTTAGGTCAATTTTGTGTTGTGCTGATCTTTCTGGTGTTTCTCTGCGTAGTGGTATAGCTGGGTCGAGCTCGTCTCCTTTGGTGCGTCCGGTATGGCTGGATACTCCTTCATCCTCCGATCGCGATTTTATTAGCCAATCTGTGTTGAATCCACCTCCCCGGCTTAAGCTTTTGAGTTATGCTGATGACTTAGAGGTTTTCCTTTCTGGTCCCGGTGAATGGGATATCCTGTTGGATCTTCTTCGGTCTTATGGATCTGCTTCTAATGCCAAGGTTAATCTTGACAAAACTGTCGTCGTCTCTTTGTCGGGTGTTCGGCATGCTTGTTGGGTAGACATCACTAATTCCGCCAAAGTCGAATGGCATGATTCCTCTTCTGTGGGTTCGGTCCGGTATTTAGGCTATCCTCTATATCATACAACGAGTCAGTTGGAGTCATTTTTGGAAGAAATTCGGGTCAAGATACTTCGGCACACACAAATGCTTCGTGGTCGGCCCCTCTCTTTGCGTGGTTCTGGCCTGGTAGCTAATTCTCTGCTTCTTAGTCGTCTCTGGCATCTTCTTCGAGTGGTTCCTATACCAACTAAGTGGCTTGACTCGGTTAAGTCTATTGTTCGTGGCTACCTCTTACCTTTCTGGCCTAGGCCTGCAATGTCTACTCTGACCTTACCTCGTAAATTTGGTGGTGTTGGCCTTGTTGACATTCACGATCAAAGCTTTAGTCTTCATCACATATATGTGCAACGTTTAGTGTCTGGTCCCACTCCAACCGACATTGTCTCTCCCTGGATAGTTCGATGCTTCCAAATATACTCTGGTCACTCCTCCATTTTACCATGGTTCATGTTTCCCACCAAGTTTAAGTCAAGTCTGCAACCTATTCCAGCTATGACTCATCTTTCTGGTTTACTGGCAAAATTACCGACACTGGAACTCTCTTCTACTTGGTGCTCCCGTTGGTACTTGGATCTTCCATTGCAATGTGTTATTTCTGTATCCACGGCCGTCAATGGTCGGGCTCCCACCTTAGTTCCATCAAGTATTCCACTTCGGTATCTGATATCTGATATCTACTCTTGGGATCAAGAAGAAGGTAGTCTGGTTCATAATCACGTGTCTACAAAGCCAAAGGTTCGTGAGACTATTCGGGCCTTGTTCCCCCTTGAAGGTTGGTTTGCTGCGACTGGCTTTTTGCCCAATGCCATGCTTCCTCAGGCCCAGCGTGATCTTCTAACGCCTAGTTGGTTACCTGACCTTTCCAAATGGTGTGTGCCAAATGGTCCCTGGAACTTTAGTACTGTGGCTGGTACCCTCCCACGTGAGCTTCGGTGGTTTTGGCATCAGGATCGCTCCAAGTTTGATTATCCTCCTAAGATCCCGGAGATGGTACCAACACGATGCTTGCTGAAACCTGTTTTGTGGCGTCGTTTCTGGACTCTTAATTTGACCAGTAAGGCTTTTACACCTTGGTGGCGGTTGCTACAAGACTGTATTGGATATCGCGCGAAGCTACATAGATGGTCTCCTTTGAAGTTTCCTAGTGCTACCTGCCCTATATGCCTAGTGTCTTCCTCAGAAGATCTTTTTCACTTTGTGGTCGGCTGTTTTGATAAATGGCAATTTTGGTGCAACGTCATTTCGCTTCTTGAAATAGGTGACGACTTTCAAAACGAATACGACGTCTGGTCTGGCATGGTCTCTCTTTGTTCTATTAAGTCCAAACGGCTAAAGCCTGATATTCTGGTTCTATTAGGTTCAGCTTTTAGTACACTTTGGAAATACCATTGGCAGTGTGTTATGGAAGATGGCTTATGGAGCTCTCACGCGGCTTTTAACATGTTCCAACAAGACCATTCTGTTCTTATTGCTTCGACCTTGGCAAAGTCAACAGTTCCAAAGATTAGTTTAGTCACGCCTTCAGGCTAATTTATAATTTGAAAATAATTTAATAAACTTACAGTTCATACAAAAAAAAAAAAAAAAAAGACCTACACCGTACGCAGTTTAAAATATTGCTACACCCTGAAATTCGGCTGGGATAACATACCTCGGGGTTACTCAGACGTTTGGATCCTTCATTGATTGGATATTGAATTTACAAATTGATATTCAGCAGCCAATATATTTCTGTTGCAAAGGCTGTTTTTAAATTTATTGGCCAATACATTTTGAATCCAAAGGCCGTAATTCAAATTTCTGGCCTTAGGCTTATGGGAGGGGACTGAAGAGCCAATAAAAACTTAATTTTTTTAAAAACTAGCCTATAGATTTGCTTCAAGTTAGTGTAAGCGGTTCTTTAATAGTGTGGCTATATTGATGCTTCTGGTGACAAGGTCAAGAATGAGCCACTCACGAATAATTTGTACTTGGAGGAATGGGACTGTTTTGCTTCGGCATCATTTAAAGGTTCACCCACGGTTTGTCACTGGTGTCGTTTGGCTGGACACGCAAGGTCTAAATGTCCGGAGTTGGCGAAAACCAAATGCTTCTCGTGTCGTGGTAGTGGACATACCGCCAAGTTTTGCAAAAAGAAGAATCTTGGTGTTACGAAACTGCCTGTTTTGGATAAGATCCCAACTAATCTTCCCTCCCCCACCGTTGAGAGCTTCCACGGTCAAGTGCTGTCTGACTCGGACACACATATTTCTGACGTGTCTACGTCCCCCAAGTTTGAAGCAAGTGGCTCTGCAGCTTCTAATTTTGCGACCACTGTTGCTAGTGTATCCATGGAGGTTGACAATCACATGAATACTACCACTCCTGCTTCTTCGACGGCTGGTCCGATGGTCGAAGTTACTAGTGGCGCTATAAAAGTTCCTGGTGCCAAGCGCTCGGTTGTAGGTAAGCCTTCTGTCCCGAAATCAGGCGTTAAAGGTCCGATTCCCAAATTGGTGGTTCGCACACCATCCAATTTAAAAGGTCATAATTTGTTCACAAAGACAAAGGTTGTTAAAAAATAATTTTTTCAATTTTCCCTTTCGATTTCTATAATTTTTTTCATTGCTAAATAAACTCACTGTTAATACAAAAAAAAAAGTTTTTTAGTAGTATAATCGGTCGTTGAATAGTTGTCCAGTCAGTCGGATTAGGGTTGGGAGTTGTGTACGAAGTATACATTGACAGCAGTCTACAATAAATAAACATGGAATAAAGACATACAGTTTGAGATTATTACAAAAAAAATATGAAATAGACTGGTGGTTTAAATTTAAGAAGGAAAATCATTTAAGAACTGTGTGGTACAATGCAATGGGTTTAGATGCCGTCAGGGGTCTGTAAATGGTATAAAGGTAGATGGTCTGCGATTTTAAAATTAATATTATATACTTTCAAATGTCAAATAGTAGCGAAAAAAATAGACTAATTGTACGCGCACCATACTTTTTGCTTGAAAAAAAAATCTCGCGCACCATTTCTTTCTGTCCGGTGTTAAGACACTGGTAATAGTTCTTAAAGGATAAGGTGGATATAGGTTATTAACACTGAAGTTAATAATAAAGTAGTTATGAAAGTGAGCACCAGACTGGAAGTAGTCAACTTAAGAAATCTTATAATATAAAGTTTTTAGGATAAGAAGGTAATCAACGATGATTTTAAGACGGCGTAAGTAATATAAATATAAACAAATTGCCAAGATTAAAAAGAAAAGTAATTATGTTATTATAAACAATATCTTATGTACGGTTGTAGTAATAAAGAGATTCGAGTCGAGTGTGAAAATATGAACTTTGAGTTAATTGTTATATGTAAGTAGAGACTTAAGATAAACAAGAAGTATGAAAATTGAGGGAAACACAAAGGAGTCAATTACAAATTATTAAGAAACTAGATTTTTAGTTAAGATAAAACTGGAGGAATATTTTTAAGAAAAAAAAAGGGCGTATTTATAGGAAAGATCCTATCCTGTGTAACACCAAGTCAATTTAGATTGGCTGCAACACCGGTCAAATAATAAAATTCCGGGTCGGACCAAAAATGATTTTTGCACATTGCACTTTTTTCCTGCGCACCATGCTTTTTTCGCTGGCGCTCCATACATTTTTTCGCTGGCGCACCATAGTTTTTTTCGCTGGCGCACCATAGTTTTTTTCGCTGGCGCACCATAGTTTTTTTCGCTGGCAGACTATACTACTTTTTTTTTTGTATTAACTGTAAGTTTATTAGATATATAAAGAAATTATAAAATTAGCCCGAAGGCGACACTAGACTATCACTACGAACTAAAGGGGATTGAGTTGCTAAAGTATCAGCAATAAGTACGGAGTGATCCTGTTGAAACATGTTAAGAGCAGCTTGAGAGTTCCACAGATCACCATCAATCACACAGCGCCAATGGTATTTCCAAAGTGTTGCCAATCCAGAGCCAAGAATAACAAGCATATCCGACGATAGAGGCTTTTGGTTTTGACCGCAGAGAGATACAAAGCCAGACCAAATATCAAATTCAGTTTTGAATGTGTCACCAATGTTAAGAAGAGAGATCACGTTACACCAGTACTGCCACTTATCGAAACAGCCCACCACAAAATGGAACAAGTCTTCGGAAGAAGAGACTAAACAAATAGGGCAGCTGGCACAAGGATACTTAGTAGGAGACCACCGGTGTAGTTTAGCCCTATAGCCTATACAATTTTGAAGTAGACTCCACCATGGAGTAAAAGCCTTACTTGTCAAATCCAAGGACCAAAAGAGCCCCCATAAGGAAGGCCGAAGTAAGAACCGGGTTGGAACCACCTGAGGTATGACGGCGCGAATCTCAAACTTCGCACGATCTGGATGCCAATACCAACGAAGATCACCTTGACGTATACCAGAAACAGTAACCATGTTACCACGGCCTTTGGGGATAGTCCAATGATAAAGCGCTGGAAGCCATGCCGGGAGCAGGACATCGCGGTTTGACTGATTATGCAAAGCTGTTGGAAGAAAACCAGTTGCAGCAAACCAGCCATCGGATGGATACAAGGCTCGTCGAACCTCTTTCACTTTGCTAGCATTGACGACACGTGTATTTCGCAAGTTGTCGGTAGATTGATTCCAAGAAAAGATACCAGAGACCAAATACCGAAGGGGCACAGAAGAAGGTACCAGTGTCGGAGACCAAGTATTAACTGCATCACCAACAGTTACAACACATTGAAGAGGCAAATCTAGAAACCATCGAGCAGACCATGTGTTGGACAAGGAGAGTGGAGGAAGATTCTGTAAAATTTTGCCTAGTTGAGCCAAAGGAACTCTCCGTTTCAGTGAATTTTGAAATTTAGTCGGATATAAGAACCAGGGTAAAATTGAGGCATGACCGGTATATAACTGGATACCACGAACCAACCAAGGAGAAACAAAATCAGTTGTCTTCGGGTCGGAGATCAACCGTTGAATGTAGATGTGTTGCATGGCTAGCTGTTGCAGATGCACATCGACCAAGCTAACACCACCGAATTTTTGCGGGACATACATAGTAGACATTGAGGGCCGGGGCCAAAAAGGAAGTAAATATCCACGAACCAGAGCTTGGACAGAATCGAGCCATTTAGTTGGAACAGATACCACACGCAACATATGCCAGAGCCGACTTAAAAGTAGAGAATTGGCAACAAGACCTGATCCACGCAGAGAAAGATTGCGCTGACGTACGATATTCGAGTGTCTCAGTATTTTAAGCTGAACTTCATCCTGAAACGCATCGAGCTGCGTTGAGGTATGTTATAGATGGTAACCAAGATATCGCACCGCACCAACAGAACTAGAATAATGCCATGCGAGACCTTCGGATTGAGCATTTTCGACCCAATCAGCATGACCAACACCGGAGAGAGACACCAACACCGTTTTACTAAGATGTACTTTGGCATTAGAAGCTAGACCGTAGCAATCCAATAAAGATTTCAAGACCGGCCATTCACCTGGACCAGTTAAAAACACCTCCAAGTCATCAGCATAACTTAGTAATTTGACAGGACGAGGAGGGTTCACCACCGACTGACTGATAAAATCGCGATCAGAGGAGCTAGGAGTATCAATCTACACCGGTAGAACCAGAGGACACACCGCCGAAGACACCGCTCCACCAACAAGAGAAACACCAGAGAGACCAGAGCAGGCTAGAATGGACCGGAGAAGAGGTTCAAAGGCCAAATTGAAGAGCAGGGGAGAGAGAGGATCACCTTGCCGTAGACCTCGAGACTGAGGTATAGGCATTCCTAACCAACCATTGATAGCGATGGATATCTCAGTACCAAAGAACACAGAACTTAGACAATCCACCAGCGTCAAGGGAAAACCAAATCGAAGAAGCACCTTGTGGAGATATCCGCATGGACCCTATCATACGCCTTTTCTTGATCCAGCAGAACAGCCACCTGAGGAATATCAGGAGCCACATCACGAGCATTAGCCATAAACATTTGATTTAACCAACTATTGTCTGAGATCAATCTATGAGCCATAAAACCAGTTTGGTAAGGATTGATCAGCTGACCAAGAACAGTATTAAACCTATTAGCCAGAAGTTTTGTGAACAACGTTGCATCGCTATTGATGAGACAGAGCGGGTGCCAATTTTTGAGTAACATTGTATCACCTTTTTTGAAAAGTAAGACCATCCTAGTTTGTTGCCAAGAAGAAGGAAACACACCGATAAGAGCATCATTTAAAATACGTAGCAGCATCGTACGAAAATCAGCCGAAGACATGAATAGGTATTTGTACACCTCAAAAGGAAGACCATCCAAACCAGGGCTTTTACCAAGGAGAGTATGACCAACCAAATCTTGCAAAGTATCCATCAGAATAGGATCTGTCAGCGAGTCCGAATCTTCTAGAGACAACACCACATCATCAGGAATACTTGCCAAGAGAGAGTCAACAGCTGCATCATCAATTAAATCGGGTGTGTATAGCTTTTTTTTTGTATTAACAGTGAGTTTATTTAGCAATGAAAAAATTTTAGAAATCGAAAGGGAAAATGAAAAAAAAAATTATTTTTTAACAACCTTTGTCTTCGTGAACAAATTATGACCTTTTAAATTGGATGGTGTGCGAACCACCAATTTGGGAATCGGACCTTTTACGCCTGATTTCGGGACAGAATGCTTACCTAAAACCGAGCGCTTGGCACCAGGAACTTTTATAGCACCACTAGTAACTTCGACCATCGAACCAGCCATCGAAGAAGCAGGAGTGGTAGTATTCACGTGATTGTCAACCTCCATGGATACACTAGCAATAATGGTTGCAAACTTAGAAGCTGCAGAGCCACTGGGTTCAAACTTGGGGGACGTAGACACGTCAGAAATTTCTGTGTCCGAGTCAGACAGCACTTGAGCGTGGAGGCTCTCAACCGTGGGGGAGGGAAGATCAGTTGAGATCTCATCCATAACAGGCAATTCTGTAACACCAAGATTTTTCCTCTTACAAAACTTGGCGGTATGTCTACTACCATGACACGAGAAACATTTGGTTTTAGCCAAATCCGGGCATTTGGATCTTGCGTGTCCAGGCAAACGACACCAGTGACAAACCGTGGGTGCACCTTTAAATGTTGCCGAAGCAAAACAGTCCCATTCTTCCAAGTACAAATTAGTTGTGAGTGGCTCATTCTTGACCTTGTCACCAGAAGCATCAATATAGCCAGCCGAGATATCAAGGATAACCAACAGCTCACCTTCAAAGTACCCCCCGCAAGTGTACTCTTTCACCTGGTACACTTCACCGTAATAACGCAGAGATCTTTTGAGATCCGCCAGAAACGTATCCTTGTCCGGAATTCGCAAAAGAGTCATCTTGACATGCACAAGTGTATTGTTGCCACTAGGAACAGAAGGAGAGCCTTTAAACAACAAGTTCTTGTAACTAACACCGTGAGTCATTGCCTTGGTAGTGCTTGTTGGCATTACAAACTTAACTTCAACCATGAATTCACCAGCAGAGCGAGTACCATAATTGCTACACAACCAGTTGAAAATCTTAAATTTTACTGAAATTCTGTCCCAAAAAGTAAATCCGTGAGCAAACTTTAATTTTTTAAAAAAATAGAAGCTGCCGATTGGATGAAAAACCAAAATACGTTATTAAACACCAGATGCATCAAAAAAAAGACGCTAAAAAAATATTGAGGATGCACAAAACCTTTAAATGGGTGTCCTTGAGGGGTGAGGATAGAAGGTCGTGGATTTGACCGTTTTTATTGGATAACAAAAGGAAGTGAACTTCATTTTTTAAAAAAAATGACATGTAAAAATTTCGAAATTATTCTTAAGGTTAATCTTGAGAATCGTTTTTCAACATTTCGAAATGTCTGTCCGTATTATGGAACCACCAAAGAGTACCAAACTTACACTTGTTAATTATTGAGTATTGAACATCATTTATCACAGTTGAATGCGACATGTCCAATAGTTCAACAACAGCCAGCTTGAACACCAGCGTACTTAGAGTTTCGTCCGATTTGACCGCGAGAAGATTGCCACCATCGTCCACCTGGTAGTTTGTGAAGATGCTTGCGTTGTCAGAAAGCACTTGCACTGGTTTTTCAACAAGTGTATAAACCTCCAGTTCGACGAGATCACCGCGTTTCAGCACATCCTTTCCAAGTAAACGACGCTTCCCACCTTCGCCAAGATCGAGATCAAAGACAGCCACCATGTTAAAAGCGACTCTCTTACCGGAGATGTATGCAGCACTACCATACTCCCGGTTGGCGTTAAAGTACATTTTCTGACCAAAACGACTAAACCATTCCCTCACCTTGGAACCACAAGTCTTCGCATCATTGTCCCAGTAACAACCCATCGACATTCCTCAAAGACAGCTCACAACCATTGATCAGGGCCAAGTCACGAGAGGGGTTTTGCTTGTTCGTTTTCATGATTATTGCACGAATGTACTTGTTAAACTGTTCATTCTTTTCAGTAGCCAAAAGCACAGGAGAAGCAAAACGAATACAATCCTCCACCAAGTGAATGATCAAGTGTGTTTTCAAACGATTGCACAGAGGACCACCTGTCTTGGCGTATGGAATGGAAGCACCATTAAGCTGTTCACCAGAACTAGCACCAGCACGAGAACGAACACCAGCACGCGCACCAGTAGCAGCAGCACCAGTAGCAGCAGCAGAAGTTACGTCTTCATCGTCAGAATCTTCACCTTCTTCAGGAGGCACAACATCACCAAACATCACCGATGGCTCATCTACATTTTCAGTTGTAGAAGCTTGATTGGCTCTACGACCGCGACGAGAACGCCTGTTACTTGGAATTGCCGTATGATCAAGGTTATCCAAAGCAACGATTGTATCATTGGCAGCCTTTTGAAGCATCTCAACAAATTTGTGAAAGTTGGTATGAATTTCCGACATATAGGATAGAGAACAAAGCTCACCAAGCTTATCGAAAGTATCGATGATGTTATTCAGCCTGTGGTGGGGATCGTTACGAAAAGTCAAGAATGCCCGGTCATCCTTAGCAAGTCTCAGTACAATTGGAATCATCTGGACCATAAGCTTGAAATCTCTTCCAAGGTAGCTTTTGTAACCCTTCAGATGCGTGGACAAGTTAGTGAAAGCCTTTGAACCGTAAGTACAACATAGAGAACTGATGACATCGACTTGGGTTTTGTTAAAACAACAATCGGCAGCCTTGTTGAAGGTGTACTTGATCAAGCCCAGACATAATCCATGCAATATTTCAACTGGCGTATCTTTACTTCGATCCCAAGAGGACAGACCCAGCAAGCCCTTACCATTAGAATCTTTGAAACCAAGAGTCATCAGATCATCAACAAAAATAAAGTGACCCTGTCTATCACGAACCCGGATCGAAAAATCAGGAATAGGTAAGTTGCTTGTAATAAATAAACTTTTCCAATGCCCTTTTTCCCTTGGAGCTGACACATATTTTTCAGGAGTGGTCCTTATATTTTGATTGTAATTATTGGCATGGCGGCACCAGAAGCACTTTCTACAAGCAAATGTAGCCGTTGAATGTTTTAAGCAAGTTATCTCGGCATGACGAGGATTGTCAGCCTTGATGAACAAAAGAGGAGCGACAACAAATACGTCATCTTTAAGGACAGCATCAAACATCGGCATACCAGTTTCCAGCTGTTTTAGATTACCAACAAGGGAAGGCAACTACTCCATGGCACTGAGTTTGTTACACCCACATAAAAGCAATTAGTTCAAGTAATGATTGGCAATACTTAGGGGCAAAGCAGCAGGATTCATTAACCAAGTATCGAAGCAATTCCATTTTGATATAGAATTACGACTACTGTCATCAGAAAACAAGTTATAAGAAACAACTCTAACAACCTCAACGTTCTTGGGAATAGACGGGTTAAGGACGTTGTTGACAAAGTTGGAGGTAACAGGCAATGGGTGCTTGTGGTCGTTGGCAGCTTTAATCATGTTATAATGATCACGAATAATATTAGTCTCATCAATAGTATAGCTCGGGTTACAGATGATTAAACGTTCAGGAGCCAAATTTTGCATGACACTGGTATAGGCATGGTAATCTTCCACTTCTAAACGGCAAACATCATCAAGATTGAGCTGGGATACATCACATGAGACAACCTTTTCGGAGAGATAGTACATGGAATCATTCATCTTGGTTATTACCGGGAAAAGGAACGCCTTGAGAATGTCGGATTCTTGGAAGAACTTGAATACCTTGAAGTAGGGACGCTGTTGAACAGGAACATTGATATCAGACAGACGAGAGATTCTATCCGACACCCACAATTGCCGAGGGTTGTTGTCATTACCAACAATTATCATGGGAGGCTGAAACAATTTATCCTCAATCCACTTTTTACGTTGACTAAGCTTTATACGTTGGTTACTCGTATAATCAGGAAGATCAGATAAATAGGGGGACATGATTGGATTGGCAATGAGAAGTCGCAGGTGTTCAGAAACATGGTTGATAATCAGATCAGGCTTGTACGGCTTACCAGCAGCGTCACGACTAGAAAGATCAATAGGTGTGGTATAAGGAATACCTTCACGGCTTTTCACATAATATTCAGCATGGGGAAGAATTGGAACAGTGCTTTTGGTAGATTTGTAAAACCTAGAAATACCATGGGGAGTAGGGTAGCCTTTGAAATCATAGTCAGTGTCAGTGGGATCCAGAGCAAGTTGATCTTTGTATTGCCGAATTGCTATTTCAATCAAGTATCTGCCGAATTCAAGGGTGGCTTTAATTTCTTCCTCTGAATACTTCATACTTGAAGGCTTGAAAAAGAGAAGAGCATGCATGTAATATTCATTTTTGAAAGGAAAGTAAGGGTTGCCATTAACATCATCAGGTACTTGAGGTTCATCATCATTGGTATTGGGGTTGATAGATTCACTAACACCAGGACCACCATCCAACTGTACTTCATCATTTAAAATGTCTTCAAAGGGGTCAAAGTCACGTCCGATTTCACTGTCAACCTCCTCAAAACCATGGGAGCTTCCGAAAGCTTCTTCAGGAGTTATGTCTGGTTCAGGCTCAGGTTCAACATCAATGTCTGTCATCATTGGACTAATAGTTTTAAAGGTAAGCATATACATTGGTTAAGTTTTCAATAAAAAAATTACCTTCCAGAAGGTGAATCAATATTCATGGAGGTATCTGCCTCATCTTGAACCTCAGGAGATGGATCAGTATTCATTGCTTCATTTTGAACCTCATTAGGGTTGTTTGCATTTCTAATGTTTGTGAGTAAATTTTCCAATAACTCTCTGATATATTACTTACGAGAGGATTGCATTCGCTACGTTTAGCCGGTGTGATTCAGAGCTGAGATGTCTTGTATAATTGCTGCGTCTATCAGTACCGTATTGACAAACATCACAGCTCAAGGCTCGATCTCGAATTTCGGCATTTAGTTCGAAAAGGTTATGAAATCTGTTTGTATGGTTTGACATAATTGTATAAAAAAAAGTTATAGTGATAGAGAAATATGTTATTGATGCCTTTATATACAAGTTTGGCCATTGAATATGACAGCTGTTTGCATTTGGCGCTAATAAATGATGACAGCTGTTACAGCTTTGGAGCTTAGCCCGAATGACACATGCATGTAATTTGATTGGTGTACAGCCGACTCTGGCGGCAATTTGTCACGCAACTCTCGCATATTTTTTCACGCTATCTTTCTTTTCCTTTTCCTCTCTTTTTTTTTTATTTTGTCTTTGACCATGACGTTTTGTTTGATTCTAAAGCGTGATTTATTGTAGTTTTCGTTGGAAGGGTTGGTATCTGATAGGAAATAGAAATACAAAATCATATTGATGACCTTGTCTTTTTATTTTAGTTACAATCATTGATGTACTCGCGTGTTTTGACACTAAAAGGTAATCATGATATATTGATAAGAACTCAGTTTACTCACAGATGTTTACTTTAGACTTCCATTAGAGATATCAAACAGATACGAGGGTACGTTTTCATTCTTGTTTGTAATAATTATTCCATGCTAACACGCGTTTTATTTTATTTTTAGTCCCTTTTTTCATGTTTTGAAAATGTAAGTTCCATCAACCTCTTCTTATTTGCAGATTATTAACATGATTTTCGTATTTTTAATAGATGTAATATCTTTTAACTTTAGTAAGGTAAGAATTGTCGCTGCTTTCTTTAAATTGTTTTACTTACCATCATCTTCATTATTTAGTTATAAAATGTATAAAACTGTTTAAGACCGTTTAAAAAGGTAAGCCCATCATTCAGCTAAAATATTAGGCAAAAAACTGACATGTCTTTTGTATAGTTTGCGCTTGATTATCAAATGCCTTTAAACGCAAATCTGTTTTGTCTTTGCCTGCGTTCGCCGCAATACGTTCATCAAATTTTGCCAGCACAAGCTTTTAAGCCCTCGTCATCATTTTAATAAACTATTTCTTTTTGGGTAAATCTTGATACACGGTCGATTTACACGGTCGATTTGAAGTACCGACCCAAAAATATTAAAAAGCATGACGTAGACATTAAAAAGTTCAAAAAGCGTGACGTAGACATTCAAAAGTTCAAAAAGAGTGACGTTTCATATTTGAGAGATCGTGTACTGAGCGTGTATTTGAAAAGTGCGGGGAAAGGGAAAAAAGATACAAATTTGGGAAAAAGGTTTTTGCATATAAGCAGTATCAACAAGAGCCATTCTTTGGTTGTGTGCTCCAGTATTTGCTTAAACAATAAAGTTTTGGCATTAAAATAGTTTTCTGAATTCTGCAAACAAACAAAGTGTTTCGTATGGATTAGTTAAAAAGGTACCCAAATTAAATAAATTATGAACAATTTGTAATTGAATTTGGCATAGTTTTCTAATGCAACGAATTGAAGATAATAAGGTAAAAAAAACATAGTGTGTGTGAAGTGATTAAAGCTAAAAAACATTAACTGTTAAAGTAAAGAATCTTTAAAATACGATACGAAATTAAGAAAAAATATAAACAAGACATATAAGTAATACGAATTTTTATTGAGAGTAAATTTTTTTTTTTTTTGAAGAACTAAGAAAAATTGTTTAAGGAAGCATTTAATAAAGGATTGCATAATCTTGTTCGCTGCAGATATCAGGGTATGATCGTCTTAAACGATCATGATCCATATCTACAACAGGTTTTTCAAATTTTTTTATACGTCCTGTTGGTGTACGATGGAACTCGACAACGTAGAAATGTGATGACGAGTAAAGAAGCGTAATTGGTTTTTCAACATTTTGAAGCGGCATGTTGATCAACGGAAAAAAAACTTGTGCCTCACGATTTTCTCTAAATTCTCCAGTTTCTTTCAATGGATATTTGACATACGAAAAGAGGATTACCGGACGTTCGAATGCATCGGCTACAACCTGTGGACAGCTGAACGTACTAAACCATAATATCTGATCCTCTTGGTTGAGACATGGTGATTTAGTAGAGTTCAACCGTTTGACCATCTTGATTCTTTCCAATTCGACTACCTTTTCATCAACTGGCTTATACAAGGTATCATGGTATTTGAGGTAGGTTTCAAGCATTTGATGTTTAACCTTTATCCATTTACTTTGGTCGTTAAATACCTCTAATGCTACAGCTCTAAAGCCACAATTTCCATCAGCCCCGACGTCATGAATTGCAGCAATAACATTTTTAGGTTGGATATGAATCCAATTAAATGCTACATCCTTTTTGGCATTACGGTAAGAAGTGACTCTAACAATCGTTTACATGTAAGTTTATATATAACGTTTTTTATCTGCATTTCTCGTACCGATCATAATGCGATGTTTCTTTTTCAATTTTCACATCACTTTTGGCATAGTTGGGGTCTTGAGAAACAAAAAGGTTCAACTTTCTTTTCTTTTGTTCAAGAGCTACCTCTCTTTCTTCGAGAAACAATTTTTTTCTTTTTCTTTCAAATTCTTCCTCTTCCTTTTCTTTTTTCTCCTTTTTTTTTATCTCCTTCAGCTGGTGTTCGTGGAATAGCTCCTTCGCAATCTTCAGTCTCTCGGTGCTACTTTTGATACCACGCTTCGACTTGCGTCCCTTTCTGTTTGTATTTACAGATGGGGGTTGCAGCTCGTCCATTTTAATTACTGGCTCTTTGATATCCAAATCGGCCTTTTCCAATACTTTAATAGCATCACTTACTTCTTGTTGCGTTCCCAAAGAGTTTATTTTGGTAAACATACCATGCAAAAGCTTCTCAACACGGAGAATCATCCTTTCTCTGTTGTTCTCTGGTCCCTCTTCTGTACGTTCTATAACAATAAAATATTGAGCGTTCCTATTTTTTTTACTTGTGGAATAATTTATTTAAAATTACCTTTGGACGGCAAAGGTGTGTCATTTTTAGCTGGCATACTTTTTCCATCCTCATTGCAGCACTCTTCTTCACTTTTTTCATCCTCATCAACTTTTGTTTTATAAAAAATATGAATTTGTGATTGCCAGCTTTTTATTTGTGAACAAATTACCTTCCTGAACCCGAATAGTGGTATCTACAATTTCGTCGTCTATTTTTGTTTTTGTTTTATCTATTTAATTTTAATGCAGCAATACTGTTTCTGTTTAACTCACCTTCTCTATCAAGATCATACCTTGCTTTTGCTGCATTTGTACTCGTAACTTCGGCCTTGACTTCGTTTTCCACATTCACTTCGTCTATTATTAAATAATTGGGATTATAACTTTATTAGTTTTCTATTTTCTTAAATTACTCACAATATTATAGGATATAATTTCATAAAACTTTTAAAAACACATATCGAACAATAATGATCATCACATACATTTAAGCAACACAACAAAAATTGTAGTGTACCATTTATAATATATCACAATTGATGAAGGATTTCATTTTATTTAAACATATTTACCGAAATAGCAATACAACAATATACAGGTATATCATACCCCCCCCTCATTTTACTTCCCATAACTGCAAGATAAAAAAAGAACTTACCGTTTTTCTTCTCGCTAACATTCTCGGCCATGGCTTTACCTTCATCTTTGTTTTCGTTAGCCTCTTCGTAATTTAAAAGGCAGACATCATTAAAACCATCTATATTTGCAAACATGTGTCTTTCTTTTCTTCTTCTATACAATACCTTCATCACGCTCAAATCTCCAACGTTCATCTACAATCGACAACGGAAGCACTCCGGGATTGTTACTGATAATACAAGGGCATGGTAGATTATATCTAACACGATCCCAGCAGTTACAGTCCTTGCCTTTGGACAGAAACGAATCTTGCAGCGAAACAACAAGGTTTGTTCTTATCTTATCCATCGCGAAACGGACAACTTTAAAGGCGAGATCTTTAAAGCGATAGTCACGACTTTCATCAAAAATAACAGAGCTGATACTTATTCTTTCTATTGCCAATCTTCTGTACCTGTCTTCTCTCTAAAAATTAAAAGTTGGATTATGTTATTTTAACACGTTTCCGAAGACAAATAATTGTAAATCGATCATACCTTTTTTTCGTAATACGCATGCATGCGCTTGGTTGTCAAGCTCATCCTCGAAGCAGATTGGCTTCCCAAAGCTTTCTTCAATCCAGAATGGAAACTTTCGGCTCTACCAGAAGTTCTATTTCCCATATGAACATGTTGGTTGGCATAAAATCCAGCCCATCGTTTCATTTCGTCCTCCTTCATCAAACTAAAATAGCAAAATTAATTTTGATATATAAATTAAGAGCATGTATAATTACAAATACTTACACGTCTCTCAAATAAGACAACGCTATCTGTCCATCTTCCTTAAAATATCCAACAGTTGTGATGATCTGCTGAAAATGATCACTTGCTTTTTGAAACGAAGTTAAATCCGAGCTATTCATCATAGCCTTAAATTCACTTTCGGCTTCAGCGACACGCAAATTATATTCTACCGAAGTGACCTTGCCAATAGCCAGCTTTGTTGACATCGTATTCCAAAGATGCCATGAGCAAAGCAGATGCTGGCTTTCTGGAAAAACTGTCTCAATTGCATTGCGTAAAGCTTGTTCGTTGTCAGTGACAATAACGGAGGGCAACTTGAAACTGGTTTCAGTCGGCCAAACAGCTTCCCTTAATTCTTCCAAAATCCATTGGTAAGTATCCTCAGTTTCGCTGTTCACAAAGGCGGCTGCAACGGAAAAGGTTTGTAAACGGTTTCCTCCTTTGACTGAGGAGGCGTTGCTGGTTCCAACAATGTTGACGAGGGACATTTTGTGGGCATTTGTCTTGTAGGTGGCGTCAATTGTTATAGCCTCGGGCCAGCGTCTAGCTTCAGAAATTGCTTTTTCGTGAATAAAAAACATTCCCTTTACTTCTTGGTTTTCTTTGACCTGGATACGAATAACGTACCCAAGATTTTCCAGCTCGGTGATAAGTGAATACATCTCTTTTCCTCCATTGTCGTTCAAATACAAAGATTGGATGTTCTGGATATCT